GACAGACAGAGAGAGAGAGACACACAGACAGACAGACAGAGAGACACACAGACAGACAGAGAGAGAGAGACACAGAGAGACACACACACACACAGACAGACAGAGAGAGAGACACACACACACACACACACACACACACACACACAGACAGAGAGACACACACACAGAGCAATAAATAATGACTGATTCATTTAACTCAGATTACACATTTTTAAAGTTCTTAAACACATTACATTTAAGGGCACACATTTCTTAAATAGAAAGTGACATTAAACGAACTTGTATGCCAATTCATGAACACGCTATCTTTGTAGACTATACCGGTATGGCTCCAGCAGTTTATCTAGCTTTGCCCTCTTCTCATATTCAGCATTTGTTGGGAGGGCCAGATTGTGCTTCTGCTGAGACAGCGTTGTGTGCAGTGCGTCTCTGTTAAGCTTCACGCGCTTGATCATCTCAAGGGTGGAATTCCACCGTGTTGGAACATCTTGTACGAGTGGCTTCTGAACTTGTCCAAGGGAGGCTTGCTGGACATTCATCTCATCTGAGTTGGCCGGACTGTGTTTGAAATGTCCAACCACTTTACGGCACTTGGCCAGTGCACCGTCAAAACCACCTTCCCAAAGTGACATTACAATAGTTCTCTGTACAACATGTGCAACACAGGGCAAATGCTCCAATTGCAGTATCCTCCCTGCTGCCACCATTTTAGGAGCACTGTCTGTTCCAATAGTGGTGATTTTGTCAGCTATCCCCCACTGATTAGCGACGTCGAGAAACTGCCTGGCACATGCTTCTGCAAAGTGACGTTGCTCTGTTTTCATCACACCTAACGGACAGACAAAGTAGATCGGAATAAGTTCACTACTAGTAGTAAACAACTAGCAATCATCAAGAAACAGACATAATGTGGTCGTAATTCGTGGTGTCGTGGTAATTAATAGGCTAAGTAATTAAATTAAATTATGTAATTTAAAATTACATAACGTAGCCTACCTAAAGCGAAGGAGTGAAGTTCCCAGCTGGCATTGATGAGGTGTACAGTAACGCTGAGGTAGTTATCGTTGTTGACAGATGTCCAATGGTCCCCAGTCAGTGCTACACACCTCACCTCTACCATCTTCTCATCTTTTATGGCTTTCTCTGCGGCGTGCTGGTCATGTATTCTCCTCTTGATAGTTCGCCTCCTAGGTAGTTTGTAAGATGGGTCACCTGTGGTCGCCTGGAGGACAAGCTCGAGCCCATCACGCTGATGGGCCGGCAGCTGGTGGCAATCCACTGAGCGAGGAGATTAGTTAGCTTGGTTGATAGAGCTGTGCTGATGGGCTTGCCTTGGTTGCACTCAAACGACTCTTCCCCTGCGCTGCATCAGTGCTTGGCCCGGCATCTTACGCATTAGCTAAGGGATGCTTTGCGCTTAGGTGGTACTTGAGACTGGAAGAACTCATAACTTCATAGCTGCATCCATGTTAGCACGTCACGTTTGACGTGGTAATTTCACAATTGCCCCCTACAGTGCAATTCGGCTAGGTATACAACTGCACTGAAATATCAATGTGAAAGTCATCATAGCTTGCGTAGTATAGCCTCCTACAGAGGAGCAACAGAAAGCATCCTGACTGGAAACATCACAAACTGGCATGGGATGTGCACAGCCCAGGACCGGAGGGCTCTGCAGCGGGTGATTAAAACTGCTCAGAAAATCATTGGTACCCATCTCCCGAGCATCAGTGATATCAGTGAGGTGAGGTACCTACGCAGAGCCCAAAGGATACTAAAAGACAGTACTCACCCAGCCACAGCCTGTTCACACTGCTGCCTTCTGGGAAGAGGTATAGAAGTTTCTGCTGCCATACCACCAGACTACAGAGCAGCTTTTCCCCCCCAATCTATTAGACTATCAAACTCTAAATTCATCCTCAGCCCTGCTCCAGTAATGATAGTTTATTTCTGTTTACCATTTTTTATAATTTATTCTGTATTAATGTTTACTGTCTGCTATGTAGCAGAAGGGAGCTACAAAACTCACTCTAACTTGTTATATTGTGACAATAAACCTACCTACCTACATATTTTTTATCTCACAACTCTCAGCACTCTTTAGCATCACTGCTCCTCCACCGCGCAGAACCTACTTCTCTAATATAATGCACGTTTACTATGAAGATTGCTTTTATAATATGTTAGTATACTACTTTTAGTGTTAGGGGTAAATCTCTGTTTCAATCTCTCTTTGGTCCCTTGAACTCCAAAATGGATGTTCATATAAGCCCCCCCCTAATATAATTAACTAAAGTTAAAGTAAAATATTGGAGCAACACATTATATTGTGTGTCGAAAAAAAATGGTATCAATAAATGTATCAAGTATCTCTGGACTTTGATCCAGAACAGTCCACTGTATACTCCACCACGGCCGCCCTGCTAATGCACACATGTACAAACAGGAACAACCTCTAAGAAACCATCACAGCCATTGATCACTATGGCAGTAGGCTACTACTTTAATGGCCGTAACCAGTCACCGAGGTCCGGACCTCCATAATTATATTTAGTCTATAGCCTATTAATAAAACAAATTCTAATAAAAGCCATTGATAACAAGTTCAACTTAAATAAAGGCTTTAGGACCACATGGATGCATCTGAATACACAAGGGTGTCACTTTGTGTTGAAAAGTGGTGGGGACATTTTGTAGAAATATTCAGCATTAAACTCTTCATTTCCTGCATTCCAGAGACATTTTCTGGACCAACTTATGGAGGGAATGTCTTTATTTATATGAAGGGAAAGAAAAGTGCATGTGGCTGGTGACAAATCAGAATATAAAAATATTATCAAATATAATGCAGCAATCAGTAGTTTGTTTTTTTAGCCTAAGTTACTTTTGTTGGACAAGGCAGATCTGTTTCTTCAATAATTACATTGCATTGCTTTTCCATTGTGCAAGTAGTTCTCATAGAATTTGTATTTGTTATTTAACTCACACACAGGGTCATACAGAGAGTGTGTCGGGAGTAAAGCAGCCGTCCTCATGATTCTGAGCTCCATCAGAGCATCTAAACATTTCAGATGCTAAAAGTTGAATTCTGTTTCCTCTGCAGAGTTTCCTCTGTCTGACCTGTCAAGTTTTTAACAAAAATTTTTTTTTTGTTTTGCTGCCAAAACTACATAATGAATTTGAGAAATGGGACAAAACAATCAGAATCTTTCCATACTGAGTTCTGTAAGAGCATCCTACAGGTGCAGAGAAAAACACCAAATAATCTGTGCAGAGCAGAGCTCGGCCAATACCCCCCTCTTACTAAAAATACAGAAAAGATCAATAAAATCTTACAATCCGTTAACCCCCAGACATACGATCACAAAGCCCTAACATACCAGGAGCTGAAACCAGAGAAGAGTCCCCTCAGCCAGCTGGTCCTGAGGCTCTCTGCAGTAACAAGTCCCCAACAGCCTCAGGACAGCAACACCAACTCAAGCAGACCAAACCACTTTATCAACAAGCAAAAAGAAAAATATATTGAATACTGGAAAGAAACGACCAAAACACAAAGTAAATTCCAATGTTATCTGACCCTAAAAAAGAGAATTCACACTGGCAAACTACCTGAGGCCAATAAAATGTCCTAAATTAAGAAAAATGTTGACAGCATACAGACTGAGTGAACACAGCCTGGCCATAGAAAAGGGTTGCCACAGACTGGCTACCACAAGAGGAGAGACTCTGCTCCCAGTGTGACAGAGGACAGGTAGAGACAGAGCTGCACTTTCTAACCTCATGCCCTAAACAACAAGACAAAAACACTTTACAAACATTTCCCAAATATACCCCGAATTTGAATTTATATCAAACTCCCCTATTTACTGGGAGAAATGCCCAAATGTCAAATAATTGCTGCAAAATATATCTCATCATGCCATGTACTGAGGACTACCAGTGGAAACTTAAACTAATAAATAATTGTACTAATTTTCAAATTATTATTATTTTGATTGTGTGATATTTTAGTAATTGTTGTTATGCAATCTCACATTTGATAGATTTAATTTTTTTAATAATTTTTATTTTTCTTGCCTTTTAATATACACACACATACGGTTTTATCTATTCATTTTATTTTAATATATTATAATACTCGTTGCTGTTAGTCATCTTAGTTTATTTAAATTTTAAATTTTTCCATTTTTTTAAACTCACACACGTTACGGTGTCATTTACTTATTTTAATTTTTAAATTTTAATTTTAGTTTTTTATACACTATTTATTTATTTTAATTTAATATATTATTTTCATTTTCTAACATACTACACACACACACTTATAGTTTTACTTATTTACTTTTTTAAAATATATATTTTTACGGAATTTTTATTTATATATATTAGAGAGAGAGAGACGCGAATATATGCGCTGCACTCAACAGTAATAACATTTTTAATAGGCATGTTAAAAAAACAAAAAAAAACAAAAAAAAAAACACGGTCAGCGCTGATATTGAGGTGGGCCACCACCAATAAATTTATGTATGGGAACACTGTACTGTTCAGCTGCACTATCTCTGGCTTCGCTGTCCTCTCTGTTTAATCTTACACCCCGTGTCGTTCAAAGTTCTGTCAACATTTTATTATTAGTAAAAACGTATAGGCTAAGGAAGGGGGCACACCGGCATTTGTCACGGTACTCCAGATGGCCAGGCCGCTACTGCCCTAGGCTCTTGTTATAATGCAAGCAACAAACAAATTTGTCACTGTGACATCCCACTTCTCCATGTGGCCCTTCCTTCAATTTTCAATTAATCATATTTAACAAGTTCTAAAAAAATAAATGGCCTTATGTTATTTATTTTCCCTAAAGATCATTATTTTTATTTCTTGAAAGTAATTAAGAGTTTTTTTTTTAATTCTAGCAGAAAAACCACAACAAATAAGTCTTAGAAAAGGTTTGCTATTTTAATACCAATAGACTCAACTTCAGTTCTTGTCTTCTTTTCCTGTAGGTCACATCCGGGACCCCAACAATCAGGTGCAGGTTGTGAAAAACCTGCGCATCTGTGTCAACAATATGGCAACGAGCCCAAGCACAGCGTCTGCTGTGCTCAGCCCTGCCCAGAAGCAACTACTCAATGAAGTGGTGTTATCCTGCCAGCCACAAGAGGGCGCTGTAACCAGTGTGATCACAGCAGGAGACTATGTGCTGAACTTCAGTGGTAAGGACTGGCAATTGAATGATACAAGATTTTCATGTTGATGCATTCATTTGCATTTATTGAATTTCAATATTTGAGTGCTCAGGAAAACAGATGACTTTATATCGGCTGTTTTTTTTCTTAAAGGGACTATATGTAAGTTTTTCAAATTTTCATTGCCTTATTGTCAATGGGCTCAAAACTCACTCAGAAATGAAGCACACGCCTGTTTTCTCCGTTGCTTGTATCAGCCACTATTCTGCTTTTAATGTGAGGACACCAGGTCGGATTCAGCCCTGTGCGCGTTCCCGAGCCTCTCTCATGCTGCAGCAACAACACGGCAGCTAACGACATGCAGTCCACTAACACCAACCGGCTCACAGCAAAACACAGGTGGAGAAAGGATACAATCGGATACGATAGACCAAACATGTTCAGATGATGTCAATTAAGAACAAAGTGAGCATTAGTAAAGCTGGAGAAACACAGAGAAAGACGACCCATGTTACTTTCCTGTGTACCACTGTTATTATGTCACTGTTAAGTGTCAGAGCCTGCAAGAAATGATGTAATGGTAAAAAGCAAATGTGGAGCTTAGGGTTGGGCGATGTCTACAAAATTTCCAGCGGACGATGTCTACACTGAAATATTGGGATGGACGATGGTGGGTTAGCGGTCGTCTTATGTGCATGTGTTACCTCGCACAGACTCGGTTAAAAAGTTGGTAGCGTATGACATTACAAGTCACGGTGGATATTTTACAAGCACGGACCAGGTAAAGCAGCACTGAACACAGAGTGCAGATGTTGGTTTCTGTTGTTTGATAGGCTGCGTCATTAACAAGCCCACAATCGGCTCACCTGCTGCCGTGATAACGGATCTCGGGTGGGAAAATACTGAAAAAGCGTGTTCTGAGTCTTTTAGGCAACTTTATAAAACGCACTGCTGATGGAGAAAGTGAAGTAGACGAGCAGGGGGGAGACAGAGAGAGGTGCCAAGCCAGTGTGTTTACCTGAGGTGTAGGCTTCTTGTGTGTCTGTGTGTGGGGAGAAGAGAATTCCGAGGAAGGTGCGAAGCATATTTAAAATTCATAATAATAATGTTTGTGGGGATTAAAACCTGCTTAGGTATTGTTTGAAAAATTTGTTTATTATGCTGGGGGTCAGGGTTTTACAAACATGATGTGTGCTCAACCATCTGTCAGCCATCGCCGATGGACGATGGCATCGTCTATCGGCCCAACCCTTGTGGAGCAATTTGTTCACTATCCTATAGTGATTCTGCCAGCTAACGCTACATTAGCTTCGACCTGTCGCTATTTGCTTCATAACGTTCAATTTAGATTTATTGCCTTTTACTGATACTCTGGTACACCCGCACCTCTCAATCGCTGTAACTAACATGACCCACTTAATATACAACCCAATCTACTTACTGCGGTCTAACTGTTATAAAGTGTGACTCAGTCTCATTATAATATTCAGTCCAGCTCACTAACGTTTCATTATCATACATTTAGCTGAGCTGACATTGCTGAGCCTCCGGTGAAAGATACACAGATAGTAAAGACAGTTACTGAAAGCAGCAGGCGAGCTCACGCTGTAACATGTTGGGTAAATGCAGTCACTGTACCATTATCATGTAACGAGTACGAATTAGTTCAACATCAAGCTGATAAAACTATTATGTAACGTTGCAGTGGGAGTTTACCTGAGATCCACCATGTTGTGTGAAGCTGTCTCCCTACCTGTCTATAGCTGCTCTCACTCTGCCTTTTTTCGGGAGTACTGTGCCAATATGCTGAATGAAAGGTACGGCGCCGGTGTTGATCTGCCTCTGAGACAGGAACGTTTAAGTAACAGAGCCTGAACATGTCTGAGTGAAAAGCCACAGCCTGCATGCTGGTGTTTGTGCATTTATTGTTGGATTTCTGTATGAAAGTGGTTGTGTTTCGGATTATGCTCACTCATAAGTTCAAACGAGCACTGGTACGAGCACACGCCTGGTAGCAATCTTAAAACCGCACCGCTAGTGGCCGCTGAAAACTACATAATGCCCCTTGAACAAAAACGCATAACACCATTTTTTTTCATAAGGAAAATGCATGAGAAAAAGTCATATTGTGATCACGATTTGTGTTTCGATTATAACAAATGGTCCTATGAGTCTACTTACTTGATTATCAAGGAAAATGTACAAACTACTGACACAAGCAAAAAGAGTTAGTAAAAAGCAAGGGAAGGGAGCTGAAGGGTAACAACTTCGGCATGAATGATCAGTTCCCTAAGGAAATTGTCGATAGATTTAAAAAGTTGTATCCGCTCCTGAAAGAGAACAGATTAAAGCGCCGACATGTTGTGTTGACTGTGGATAGGCTATACATCGATGGGCAGCAGTTTTGTGATAGCAAGATCACACCCTGGCTATTCTGAATTAATAAGCTACTAATTGTTATGGAGGCCTAGCCTATACATTCAAATTCATAATGTGCCACTTTGTGGTTTGTTGACCAGCTGCCACTTTCCCTCTTTTGGATTAAATTTGTCTACTGGCTTACATGCCTTGTTGTAAGTTGAATATTGAAATGAATAAGCCATATGCTCAGGTGCACTACATTTCTGCTCTGTTCTGCTTTTATGGCTGGCTCGCAGTCCGTCTCTCTCTCTCCCCCCTGTTTTTTTCTCTCTCTCTTTCTTTTTCTTTTACTCTCTTTATTTCCCTCTCTCTCCTACTTCAGGTTGATTTCTAACATTTCTTATTATAGAGGTGGGAATATTTTTAGTGGTAGGGTGATGAATGATTGGTGGGAATACTTGTGTGTTTTGTCTCTTATTTGCCCTGTCCCCCTTATGAATCATGTTATGGTGAGTGTCTGCTCAGATTTGGGTTTGATGATTTATGAGCTTGATCTTGATGCCTTACAAATATGGATAACTGTAAAGGTTTAAAGATTGTGCATGTCAACATTAGGAGCCTGCTTCCAAAAATAGACGTATTCAGAGCTTGGGTAGAGGATCAGAAGCCCAACACAATTACGCTGTTTGAAACATGGTTAACCAAATCAATTTCTAATCAAGAAATAGCATTGCTAAATTATGTTCTTTTTAGAAAATATAGTGGTACCAGAGGTGGAGGAGTTGCTGTTTATGTTGCTGATACTTTGTTGTCTGAACATATATTGCCTAGGATTGAGCCATTGCATCCTGAGGCATTATTTGTTCAAATCAATTATGATTGGAGATATTTATTGACCTCCAAATGTACCGGCAAACTTCATTAATTATATGTAAACACTATATATTCTATTGAATGATCAAATGAATGGATAATTCTTGGTGACTTTAACAAAAAATGGTTGGATAATACCTCCTCGAAAGACAGATGTGCACTTGAATATCTGAATTTTTCTCAGCTATTGAAAGAACCTACAAGACTTAATCATAAAACTCTCAATCACAGATACTTATATTGGATCCTAACTACACATCCTGAGAGGATAGTGAAAACTGGCAAACTATCTGACTCTTTTAGTGACCACTGTATATGGAGAATTAAAATGCTAAAATTGCCTCCTAAATTCATGAAAATTAGACTGTGCAAAAATATTAATGGACTCTTATTGAGGATGTAATTGGTTTGAATTGGTACAGATTTCAAATAGTACCGACTGTGCATTATACTTGGGAATTTACAAATATTTGCAACAAACATGCACCCTGGAAAACAATAAAAGTTAAAGGTAGACATCTACCTTGGGTTAATTCGGATTTGATAAATCTGTTCAGACAGTGGCACTTAGCCTGGTCTGAATTTAGAAAAAGTAGAGACCAATTAGATTGGGAGGTTTATAGACAGCTGAGAAATAAAAGCAAAACTAAAACTAGCGATACAAAAGCAGCTTATTATGCCAACAGTCTTTCCAAACATTATAAAAATCCAAGACAGTTCTGGAGAAAGGCAAATGATCTTCTCAATAAATCTATAAATCAGTCAGTTCATCAGAAGAAGTTCAAAGATCGCATCATTCAAGATCCTTTAGATATCGCTGATGTTTTCAACCAACATTTAACTTTTGTTTGCTCAACGCTGGCTTTTTGTGAATCTGAGCATCATGCCTCCGATTATTTTCAACACCAGAGAATTAATACTTTTAGTTTCAGTAAAATTTAACAAACTGAAGTATTATCTGTTATCTGTTACTATCTATTACCAACTTAAAGTAAAACAAAGGTCCAGGTTTGGATGGACTGGAGGCAAAATTTATAAAAAGAGGCTGGCTGTTCACAGAGCTCTGTGTCCAAGCACATTAATAGAGAGGCGAAGGGAAGGAAAAGATGTGGTAGAAAAAAGTGTACAGCAATAGGGATAACCTCACCCTGGAAAGGATTGTGAAACAAAAGCCATTCAAAAATGTGGGGGAGATTCACAAAGAGTGGACTGCAGCTGGAGTCAGTGCTTCAAGAACCACCACGCACGGGCGTATGCAAGACATGGGTTTCAGCTGTCACATTCCTTGTGTCAAGCCACTTTTGAACAAGACAGCGTCAGAAGCATCTCGCCTGGGCTAAAGACAAAAAGGACTGGACTTCTGCGGAGTGGTCCAAAGTTATGTTCTCTGATGAAAGTAAATTTTGCATTTCCTTTGGAAATCAAGGTCCCAGAGTCTGGAGGAAGAGAGGAGAGGCACAGAATCCACGTTGCTTGAAGTCCAGTGTAAAGTTTCCACAGTCAGTGATGGTTTGGGGTGCCATGTCATCTGCTGGTGTTGGTCCACTGTGTTTTCTGAGGTCCAAGGTCAGCGCAGCCGTCTACCAGGAAGTTTTAGAGCACTTCATGCTTCCTGCTGCTGACCAACTTTATGGAGATGCAGATTTCATTTTCCAACAGGACTTGGCACCTGCACACAGTGCCAAAGTTACCAGTACCTGGTTTAAGGACCATGGTATCCCTGTTCTTAATTGGCCAGCAAACTCACCTGACCTTAACCCTATAGAAAATCTATGGGGTATTGTGAAGAGGAA